ATAGATAGATAGATAGATATAACGTCGGGGCAAGGGTAACAGCTGCTAGGGCTCAGGTAAACGCCAGGTCTTCAAGGAGGAGTGGAACTGTCGAAGATCTGTTAATAGTCATTCATCACATTTTGCATCAGTATTACATTTTGGGGTGTCACAGTCATCTTCCACCTCCAAGAGAGGAATATGGGTAAGAGAGTTTATCCTCTATGTTGGATTTCATCGTAAGGCAATTTATCTCGAGTTACAGTTAGATCACCCCAGACCTCAGAAACTCAAAAGAGTCTAGAGGTAGCTGACCCTTTGACGCCCATTTTACTCACGTGGACAGCCCAATCGGCTATACACACAAAAATAACGTGACACGGATTAATTTGGCAATAAGGCCTCTAGCCCCCTCCTGTCTGCCAATGGTTAATGAAGTCATTTTTTTTTTTCGCACCAAAAGAAAACTGCGATGAACTTCAATCAAAGTCTTAGGCATTTATCTAAAATAACAACTTTAAAATGAAGTCCGGCATAGTCTGGTGACAGTTTATTCCATGGTGAAATTCATTCCAATCTATGAAATTTCAGTTTTCCATGCAGGAAAGAAGAATGATACTGTCAAAAAGATAACATTGAGGGGGTAGAAACATTTAAAAAACATACGATGCCCTTAGCAGCTTTTAACATTGTATTACGTTTGTAAACTTAGATCTTGTAAACTCAAGTTTGCATTATATTAGAACACACAAGGAAGTTTATTTCCATGAAAGCTCAAATGATCACTCCAAATCTGTTATGTTGAGAATTCGAAATTGATGATGGTATCCTCTTTATTTTTATTTTTTATTTTATTTAATTTTTTTTTTAAGCAGACTCAATTTTCTTCTCGCAGTCATGACTGTTGTAACCAGTGTGTGTGAGTTTACATAATAATAATAATAATAATAATAATAATAATAATAATAATAATAATAATAATAATAAAATCTCGCAGTCATGACATAAACTACAAACAAAATAATAAATTCATTGAGCCCAGTGCGGGCATCCAGTTTCAACGCATATCACATTCACGATCATTTCTACCCCATTGATTTCGAAAACATCATTCTTTCCATTTCCATTTCCATTTTAACGAATGTTAACTGTGTAATGATAGTCAATAAAATCCATATCAAGGTTAAATTTCAAAGCGTTCTCTGGCTTAAAGTGCCGGTATGGAAAAAAGACAAGCTTTCGACTGTCGTAACTACAGTCTTCAAGGGCGAAATGGTAAAGGAGCACTAAAAATGCGAAAATACAGAGTGATAACATATCAAAAAAAATAAAATACAACTGTACGTATATCTCGATTTATAATATAGATAGGACCCCGCGCGCGCTCTGATTGGTCAAAAACCCATGTTTTATTAGAGTATAAAACATAGAAAAAGCATGTTTTATTATTTTTCGCCACATTATTATCACCTGTATATATCATAAAGCAAATGAAGAAACCTAAGCCATGTATTACTTAAGCAACAGACCACTCTTTCTACGGGTTTACTAGCGCAATAAACCACGCGGGATGTTGGGAGAACACTCGAAAAGCTTGTAAATCACGAGCCGTTAGGCTCGCTTGTATGAAATAACTATGGAAAAAGTCTGTCAATGAGAGGAAAATTTATTGTACTTTCGTGATCAAGTTTCTTATTCTCATCAAATTCATGAGATGACGCGGCAAACCAATCACAGCGACTGAAAGAATGAAAACACAGACTCCGCGCCGGACACGAAATCCGCAGAGCAAAGCGACGAGAACATTTCACGCTAAGAAAGTGTTAAGAAAGGAAAGGAAAAGGTTATCTGCGAAAGGCAAAAAACATATTAATTAACTCAAAAGTATTCTGACGGGGAAATGTAGGGATTCATAGGTGGAATCGGTCATCACGAAAGTAAAAGGCTGTACGAAAAGTGTGCAAGTAGTCCAAACTTCATGCGCTTGGCGAAGTGATTCAACGCAGTGTTTAACGATAACTTTTCGACGTTTTACGAATGGAATAAAGGTTAGTAGCAGAAACACTGCTTCCGAAATTTATTTAGAATTTATTTACTTATGCTGAGGGCTATGAAGTCTGTGTTTCTCTGTATTTTGCTAAATGAAAACTATTGCTTGAAAGCTAAGCTTATGGAAATCAAATTCATTTATCGTTTTATGCATCCATGCATTGAGTTTAAACTCAAAATTTCTGATAGAAAGAAATGTTTTCCCTGCTTTTTTGCCAACCTAAATCGATCAGCCAAGCCCAGTTGACTTCGTCTTCCACAGACCATGGAAAGCACCGAACTAACGGTTTAAAACGTCCTTAATCTTAATCTCAATCGTAACCGGAGTCGGCGTAAAAGTTTTGCCGTGAGAAAAAAGATAAAGCTTTATATGACGACCAACTTATGGTCCTGTTTTTCCTTGCAAATTTCCACGTATATGTTGAATGAATAGATATTCGTGTTATTGATATCTCAGCCAGTGAAAGGCAAAACTGTTTATTGCATTTGTTATCGCTAGAGTTCCGAGTTCTCCAGTTTCCGCCTAGAGCTGCCATGGATCGGGAACCGTGGCTTAACGGTACAGTAGAACATAGGTTTAGCAACTCTATTGACTAATCAGAGCGTGCGTAGTATCTCAGTTATTTTATAAACTGTGATAAAACACTCCGAACATCTGAGAACACTCGAGAAATATAGAAAACACCCGCCTGCGGCTAGTGTTTTCTACATTTCCCTCGTGTTCTCAAATACCCGTCGTATTTTATCACAGTGTAAAACACGGCTTAAGGCTTCTTTATTTGTTAAATGGAGTTCCATATCGAGATATACATAAATATATAAATTTCATGTGTGCGCGCCCATGCATTACTCTCTATTGACATAACCAGTCTCACAAACCAGCGCCTAATTGACCGCTTGTTCGTTAATACAAAAGCTATGCTCTTTTCTTTGCGACTCTGGCTCTCAGTGAAGTATCGTAGATGGAGACTGATTGGTCACATCCTTAGGCAAGATTGCAATAATGATTGGAACATCGCAATAAGCTGGGCGCCAGAAGGGGAAAAGAGAAGGGGAAGGTCCAAGACAACCTGGAGACGAACAGAAGAAAAGGAACGGAAAGAGGCAGGGTGGAACTCATGGAAGGAAACGCGGACGGTCGCAGCTGACCGAGAAAAGTGGAGGAGCTCTGTTAAGGCCCTATGCGCCACGAGGCACGAGAAGGATAGGTAGATCAGAAAAATTGCTGAGGAAGTTAATTATACTTTACTTTCCTACCTTAATTAAACCAAGGACTTAAAATTCTTGCTCAAGATGTTCTGGTCCTCCGTCAACAGGAAAGCAGCAGGAGTGAATATCTAGGATGACTCCTCTTTATAAATTCCAGAGCTAAAAAAAAAATGTCGTTTGTCAAAAAACAGTTACGGTATACATTACACATTCCTTTAACTGGTTGAATAACGCGAGGAAAATCCAGTTCGTACAATTCTTATCACAGCGTTGTCCAGTCAGCAAGTTTCGTCTCTTGTTATGACAATGACGGTTAGAAAGTGAACTCTTCATCCTTTTATAGTAGTTCGCGTTTAGTTTGTTCAGTTCGTGCCAATACGGAAGAGAGACAGATGAAAGTCAAACTGAATAAGTTGTATAGGAAATGTAATTAGGTTGTGGCGGCTTCACGATCACTTCCTCAGTCTGATGCACTGAAGAGGGAGATGATGGGGTTTTCGGTTTCACAATTTTTGTCGCTTTTTCATCAGTTTTTGGACTTAAAATGTCCGGGTTTTCGATTTGGTTTAAGTGGCGGTTTTCGTTTTATCCCCCGCCTTTTTCAGTATTCGGCTTTTGGGTTTCGGTGATAAGGAAATCGGTTTTTCATTTCTGTTTCATTACTTACTTGGCTATTTCCACTTCTTAATAATTGAAACCTGCATGCATTGCGACCAAATTTGGTCCAGTTGTGTTCTACATGAATCAGAAAATATTTTCTAATTGGAGATTTCTACATGTATAGACCTCGAACAAGAGACGATGATCAAAATAGATCAGGGTCTCTTACCTCGAGATAGAGGGGAATGTTAAGTTGCATGATGCTCAAATGATGCGTTTGCAACATTTTATCGCCGTTTATAGGAAACATCTGCCAGTCGAGGAGTTAATAAAAAGCTAAAGAGGTGCAACCGGCAATGATTCTAAAAAATGAAAATGTCTCAGGACTCTTAATCCCTCAGAAAAGAAAAAAGGATCTGTCTTTCACTGCCGTATCAAGCTTAGCGCATTAAGCCGCGTCCATACTACGCCGGAGAAATTTGAAAACGCAGCTTTATGTTTCCGGTTAGACATACCGTCCACCCTAATCCGTCAAGCAAACGGAACTTTTTTTTTAAAAAAAAAAACGCTCTACAAACCGAGGGAATTTGAAGACGCCGGCTGTTCGTTTTAGTGTGGACGGAAAACATTTTGAAAACGAAGCTTTTCGAAAACGATCATCATCACGATAATCATGTGATTTCTGTGCCGAGTTTTTCTCAAAGACAAATCTAAAATGATCGCTGATTGTTGTGTTTTCAAATTCCTCCCGCGTGTGGTGGACAAAGCCTTAAAATGTGTGAATTTGCACGTTTAATCATTTTGTGTGGCGGTTTTCGGATTTGAGGGTTTTTATGGTGGTTTTTCAGTTTTCAAAGAAATTTTTGAGCGGTTTTCCGGTTTCTAGTAGACCCCAATGTCAACCCATGTGAATAATGAACAAGTTATTTAACATGGTAATTTTTCTCTTAATACTGAAGGAAGCTTGAGACTGGAAGGAAAAGACTTCCTTTTCAGGTAGGCAGCAC